TCCCTGGGGGGGGATATCAGCGCCTTCGGCAGCTGTCCCCCCCCCGGGGTGCGCTGCGCATCCGTTCCGGATGGCCGCGGTCCTGGATGGTGTGCCGGAAGATGGCGTTGTCCCGCATCATCACGCGGCCCCCTTCGCGATGTCATCGATGCGCTTGAGCGCAGCAGCCTCCGGATTCCGCAGAATCAGCTCCCAGATGGCATTGGAGACGTGGCCTGTCTGGGTGGTCTGGCTGAATCTGAACCTGGGCACCTTCTGGTCCACGATGGAGACGTCCCGCAACGGGGCCGAGGGCTCCACCCGGCGGTAGTACTCCAGCCGCTCCTTCACCCAGCGGTTGTAGAGGCCCTCCGGCGGCTCGTCCAACACCAGCTGCAAGATGGCCTTGCCGGCCCGGATCTGGAGGAGGCGGGTGCCCCCTCCCCCGGCACGCCAGTACCCCTTACAATACTTGCACATGTAGCCCCCCCGGGTCTCCCCTTTTGTCTTCGGGATGAGTTCCCACGGGGTGACGGAGCTCAGGACCAGGCCACACTCCATGTGCGCCCAGAAGACATGCTTCATCTCCACCGGATAGTTCTTCTTCCGGTAGTCCTTACCCACCACGCCGTGGACGTTGTCCGCCGTGATGGGGGGGTAAACAATCCCCTCATCGCCCTCGCCTCCCCTGGGGCGGATGTCAGGGCCATCGGCACCTGTCCGGCACCCAGGGGCGGAGGGGTCCAGGCCCATCAGCTTGATCATGTCGTTGGTGTAGCCGAGCTTGCGGTAGATGGAGGGGGCCACTGAGTCGGGGACTGCGCCGACCCACCACTGCTTCGTGTTGCAGCGCCAGTTGACCTTCACCTCCGCCAGGGCCCCCGGGCCTCCAATGCGGTCCATGAGGGCCTTGTACACCTCTGGGAACTGCTGGAGGCTCTCCACCGGGACCGAGATGCGCTCGTCGCATACCGCCCGCAGGATCATCTGCTCCTTGGAGTCCGCCACGTCCTGGACCGGGAGCTGCATCACCTCCGCCGGGGTGTCCGTGAGGAAGGCCCGGGCCGCGAGGACCTTGCCCATGGCCCGGTAGACCAATCGCCACTCCGGTCCTGTCTGCGGAAACGGAAGGCCCTCCTCCTTCAGGAAGCACCGCGCGTCCTCCTTCAGGGTCTCCCAGCCCTCCAGGCGGGTCTGATTCTGGGCCTTGTTTTTCGGGCCCCGCTGCCTAGGGCCCTGCAGCAGTGGCAGAGACTCCCAGACTCCCCAGAGCTGGCGCAGGGTGTAGCTGTGCCCGAACATCCCCAGTAGGCCTGGGAGTGTCCAGGACGAGATCTGGCGCGTCCAGTGGAAGTCCTCATCCGGATCGTGGGGGGCAGCCCAAAAGATGGATCGCAGGTCCCCAGGGTAGGGTCGGTCCCCCGCCTTCGCCTGCTGGTTCAACTCATCAACGGAGTACCTGGCCCAGGGGAGTCCACCCACCTGGTGGTTCCTGGGATGCGTACCCTTCTCCAACGCCTCCGGATTCACCTTGGTGAGGTTTTTCGCCCAATCCGGGACGTGTACCGGGCCCGGTCGTCGGACCCAGCGGCCCGCAAAGATACGGACCTCTCCGACCCGTTTGCTCATCATCCAGCGCAGGACCGAGAGCTGCACCTCCGGGTCCTTGGTGTCCAGGCCCACCGGGGTGGCGGACGGCTTGTCAGGGCCCTCGGCACCTGAGCTCGTCACGCCAGAGCCCGAGGCTGGGGGGATGGTGGGCGGCCTGTCAGGGCCCTCGGCACCTGGGCGCGCCGCACCAGAGCCCCCCGCCTTTGGCATGGGGATCCCTGTCAGGTCCGGCAGATCTGACACTCGGGATGTTCACCAGCCGGTGCAGGGGCAGTCCCCAGGTGCCGAGGGCCCTGAGAGGGACCCCCACAGCACCAGCCTGCCCCACCTGAGGGAAGATGTAGTACAAGAGTCTGAGCACCAAGGATGCCTTTCTTCCCCAGTACAGTTGTGCCGAGGCCATGCCGTACGTGCCCACTCTATTGACCCACCACCGGTTCTGGATGCAGGCCACCTGGTATTTCCAGTCTTTCTGGAGCACTTTTATGCGCCTGTGTCTTGGTGACATCCGCCTTGAGGATGATGAAGGTTTCCCCCTGTGTCGGCGGCTGCCACGTCAGGGGTTCCCCCCTGCTCCCCCCAGGGCGTTCCGTGCCTGGGGGGGTGGGGGAATGGGGCCCTCCTATCAGGGCCCTCGGCACCTGGGAGTGGCCCCTTCCCTGAATTTGTTGACCGCGGAGAGACGTCCAGGCCGCCGGAGGTCTCCATCATCCGCCTGCCCCTATCAGGGCCCTCGGCACCTGGGACTGGCACTTAGTCTTTGTGGACGACCACTGCTGGGTCCTCAGATGCAGCAGGGCGGACTGGGACGCCACAGCCATCCTGGCCACTCTTCTGGCGCTGGGAGTCCCGCTTTCTTGGAAGAAGACGGCGCTCTCCCCGGTCAATACCTGGTTGGGATTCGTGGTGGACCCAATCACGCCCTGTGTGCTGCTGGCTCCAGCCAAGCACGTCATAATCCTGGCCACTCTCAAACGGCTGGCCCAGGGGGACATCTTTACCAGCAAGGAGGTGGAACAAACCCTGGGCCGGATTCAATGGGCTACTTCGGCGTGTCCATTGACGAAACCTTTCCTCCAGCCCTTTTCAAGCTGGAAGAAGGCCTGCACCACTTCGGGCAGGCCACCGAAGCTGGTTCGTGCTCTGGCCATCCTTCTGGGGAAGCTCTTCAACCAGAGGTTCCCACTGGCATCTCCATTTGCTCCCACACTTCCATGGACGGGGGCATCTGATGCGGGAGCTGGCAAACAGGCGGACCATGCATGGGTTGGTGGTTGGTGCTCGGACGTGCCCAACCCCGACAAGTCCCGAGTGAAGTGGTTCCAACACAGAATCACACCGGAGGGCGAGCCGTGGGCCTTCACTACTGGGGACCCGCAGCGGGCGATAGCGGCCTTGGAGCTCTTCGGCCTCCTCCTTTTGGTGAGGGCTGTTCTGCTTTGTGCAGCCGGCTCGGCTTCTCACACTAGGATTCTGGTTGCTAGTGATAACCAGGGAAACGTTTTCTCCCTGCTTAACGATTCCACTCGCAGGATGCCCAATGCGGCCATCCTCATGGAAATTGTGTTAACACTGCATGACCACCAGGTCATGTTAGGACCGTCGCATGTGAAGCGCGACTTTAACACATGGGCGGATGAACTTACTCATCCGGACCCGCAATTTCCGACTGAGAACCGGGTCTTCCCCTCAGTCGAAAGCGAATTGATCAAGCTGATCTTCGCTACTTTCCTTCCTCACCCATGATGCCGGGAGGGCATCCGGTGAGGTGGGAGGATTCCTCCCTCGCTGTGGGAGTGGCATCAATTCTACTCCCATCAGCTGCTGAGGGGAGCTGCCCAGTGGAGCTGGGCAATCCTCCCATTTTGGCACTAATCCTTATGCGGCGTAAAGGATGCACCGTTTCGCGATTAAGGTACCAGTAGCACCAATGTGGTGCTTTGAAGAGTCCTATCTATCTATCTATCTATCTATCTATCTATCTATCTATCTATAGATTTATCTATATCTATATCTTATCCTATTTTCCTATTCTATCATATCCTATCATATCATATCCTGCCTTGTCCTGTCTTCTCCAATCTTTTCCTATCTTTTCCCATCTTCTCCTATCTTATCCAATTGTACCCTATCTTATCCTATGTATCTATCTATCTAGCTATCTATCTATCGATCTATCGAGCTATTGATCTATGGATCTACCTAGCTACACACGTACCTATCTATCTATCTATCTAATCTAATCTAATCTAATCTAATCTAATCCAATCCAATCTAATCTAATCTAATCTAATCTATCTATCTACCTACCTATCCTATCCTATCCCATCCCATCTCATCCCATCCCATCCCATCCCATCCCATCCCATCCCATCCCATCCCATCCTATCCTATCCTATGCTATCCTAGCCTATCTGTCTCATCTTTCCCAACTATCAAATTTGTCCTATATTTCCTACTTGTCCTGTCTATCTCTTCGTAACTATCTTATCTATATTTCCTGTTTGACGTACCTGACCTATCGTTTATGTCTTATCTATCTTGTTTATCATATCTATCCTCTATATGTATATATATATATATACTATATCTAATCTTCACCTATCTGATCCCATCTTTTTCTGTCGTATCCTATTTTATCATGTTATGCTATCTTATCCTATCTTATCCAACGTTGGCCTATCTTACCGCGATTGATCCTATCTTGCCCTATGTATCTATCGATCTATCTATCTATCTAAATCAATCTATTTGCTGGGGCTCAAAACACAAGCCCTTGAAGCACACTAACAACGAACACGCAGCGAACACCTTCGAACACTGCGAAAACAGGAAACCTGCGAACACCGCGAAAACGCGAAAACCGCGACGACCACAAAATCCGCGAACACCGCCCAAACCACAAAAAGCGGCGAACACCGCGAAAACCACAAAAACATGGTTTGCTCGGTTTTCTCGGTTTTTCGGTTTTCTTGTTTTTCTTTGTTTTTTCCGGTTTTCTTGGTTTTCTCGGTTTTCCGGTTTTCTCGGTTTTCCGGTTTTCTTGCGCAAATCCGGTTGGCTCTGTGCGCTCAAAACGATTGCTTAGCAAAGATGGATGTGCCTATGCTTTGAACTTGGCGCACTCTTTTGGGCGGTCTGTTTTCGGGGAAGCAAAGGACACCCCGCCCAATTTTGGGGTTGCCTCCGTTGAAAGCGGTGCAAACATTCTACGAGGGTTCTTGATGACCGGGGGCCATATGGACATGTGCGCCCTTCTTCTTGAGGTTGGTAGGGGTGCGCGTGGGCCCCGGCAAAAGGGAATTGATTCCTAAGGGTAGCATGACCATCATCTCACGCAAGGAGTTTTGAGCATTACTTGCTTTTGGGAGTTGCCCAAAAACAACTCCCATATCCCTAGCTTTCCGCAGATGGAGTCAGAGTTGGTGGCCCTCTCGGACGAGGAGGCGGTGAAGAAGGAGTGCGGGACTGTGGCCTTTGTGGAAGGGAACCCTCCCACTTTGGGTTCCTGGCAGGTTGGTTTAAAGGGAAGCCAACCCTCCCATTTTGGGGCACCTGAAACTGGACTCCCCCTATGTTTGAAAGAAAAAGAGCGGCGTCGACTGGCAGAAGGGCAGTGCTCTGCTTGGGATCCCGGGCCGAAATTTGAAGGGGGGTTGCTTTGAAGCCCAGAAAAAAAGAACAACAAACACGTAGCCATAAGGGCTAAGGGCTTGTTGTTTTGAGGCGACCCCCTTTTTGAGGTTTGGTTTAAGGGGAAACCCAACAGGAAAGTCACACGGGTTTTGTCTTAGGCCGGCAGTGCCCAGCGGGGGCCTACTGTGCTTCCTGAACAGCGGCTGCTGGAGCACAGGCGTGCCGGAGGGTGGTTGAGGATTTGGGGTTATCAAAGAGGCCCTCCCCATTTCACGAGTTTGAAGGGAAGCCAACACGATTCCAAGCATCTTTTGGTGTCCCCTGCGAGAAACACCCGCAGTGTGTTGAGTGAAAGGAACCCCACCGTGGAGGCCTTGGGTTGGCTCGGGACCCTTTCTTGGATCGTTGCCAAGCGCACCAAAAAAGTGTCCCCGTGTTTGAGCACTGTAGTTCACCTTAGGGATCTACACACAAATGCGCTAGGGTACTTAGTATGAGCCGAGCAACCGTGATGATACCCCACCCAGTGCTACCATTGCGTGCATCGTTGATACTAAGCGCTTGCTTTGCGCCTGCCCCTTCCAGCACGTGATGGCTGGCTGCCTTCTGAGCGCCGTCAGCACTCCTTTGAAAGACGGTCGGAGGTGCATTCTTCACGTGCATCTCTTATACATGCAGTGGGGAATTTGAAGCAGGATCTTACGTCAAAGAAGAGGGTCAGCAGTCAGTGTCAACTTCTCGTTCTGTCAAACTTGCAGGTGAGTTTTCTGTAAGTCGCATTTTTGTAGTCTGCTGGACGCCCGTCAGAATGCGTGGATTCCTTCTGGTGTCTCTTTGAAGCCACCGCAATAAGGGTACCCGCTGTCCACACAGACACACGGACACACACTTTCATTTCACCATCTCTGCTTTTCTTATTTCTCTCAGCTTCTGAGCCGTCTGTCCGGATCGTGGTCTGAAGTTTTAACCAATTTATCATGGGCTCCCAGTGCCGTTCAGGGCAGAAATGCAAAGAACCAATCGCGCTTCATGATACCCACGGTACCTTGGATGTCTTACTTCTCTTTCCACCAATAACACATGTGGACGGACGGACAATCCGCACACACACACACACACACACACACACTCAGGGTCCAAGGGTGCATCTTGTGTGGCTGAAGTTCTGATTTTGATCTCATCAAGGCTTGCAGGTGTGATCATTGACAGCCTAGGACGTGCTCTTTCACTTGCAGGATTCTAGGGGAGTGTGAACATGGCGGGCAAACTCATCCTCTGCATCATGGATTCCCGTATCTGCTTGTAGGTTGTTTTCGACATCACCTTTCGAGCCCCTTCAGAAGGGCGCTTTGGGGTGCTTGGGGAACCTTGAGGCACCACTCCCAACCAACGGGTGCCGGTCATCGGAAAGGCGCGAAATGGATCGATCGACTCGGCTCGGCTCGTTTTGCACCCAGCACCGGACCCCATAGGCGTCGGCGGTGTGCCTATTGGCCAGATTTCTAGGTTTTTGGAGCCTTTCAATGAACAACGCTCGCTGGATCGCAAGCAAGCCCCAGCAGGTAACCCTTCGCCATTATATTTTCGTCTCTCAAAGCGTGGGAAGCCACAGGTTCTCTTTGCAACCATGGAAGCTGACAGAAGGGTGTTGGAATGTCTTGATGATTGGAGACAGTTTGTCTGGCAAAACCAGCGACCCGTGAAAGTCGGTTGGGGGCTTCCCTTATGTCTGGTTTGGGAAGGAAGCAACTACCAATGTGGCTGGCTTCCACGCCCCAAACACGTTGTTCTCAGCAGCTTGGGGGCGCCAACCAATTGGTGTGTCCTGTGAGGCTTGGTATAACAGAGTTCCGCAACGGATTTCACGAAAAACACCCGAAGCCCACACTCAACACCTAAACAACCCTCAACAGTTTTAATTGGCGTCCCATTGCGCAACCTCCTTTTGATCTACCTGGCCAACTAACTGCGATTGATAGATTGTATCCTAATAAGAGTGAGTCGTGATTCATTCGCCTCCTCCCAGCCTGTCCTCATTCGCATAACTATTGCAAAAGCGGGCTCTTTGGATGCCCGGGCCTGTTTTGCAAGTCGCAGGTTTGTGGTCAAGATGGGTGTGTGTGTGTGTGCTTTTTGAGGGTGCCGAGCTTTTTCAGATTGGTTTCAACACAGCACTGTCCCCATTTGACACATCGCCATGTTTTGCTGGGTCAAGTTAGGGGCTGGGATAGGGACAACGGGGACGATCATGTTCTGATCATGTTTTTCAGGGGTTGCTAGGAACGGGTTCTTCTTTTGAGAGTGCGCGAGCGCAACAACTCTTGGCAAAAGAGGGTGCATCAAAACTCAAGTAGGGGGGGGGGGGAATGCTGGTATTCTCGCGGGCTGTTTAGAAAGGGGAGTGGATATCCACCTGACAGGCGTGAGCGCGTCAGCGCAGTTTCACCGCGCGAAGCTTCACCACGCTCTTCGCGCTGGGAGCAGCGCGCGCGCGCGAGCCACCCGGCACAGTGTGTCGAGTGTGTTGAGGGACTGCAATCAGTTGGCTTCGCATGTGCGTCTTTTGTAGAGAGTGCCCCGTTCAGGGTTGATTAAAAGGGAAGCCAAAAGGAGAACCAGAACCAAAGAGATCAGAAAATCAGTCAGAGGACCAAGCGGAGGAGGATTGCCGTTCCCTTGCATTTGGAGGGAACTCTGGCACCGCGCTTCTGAACTCGAGGGTGGGGTTGGTGTTGCGTGGTCGTCCGTCTATTTTTTCAACCAAGGTTAGAAGGGCAACTACCGTGCCTCAAAAACCACACGCCGCTCACACGAAAGATCAAAACGGAACAGCCCGACCGGATGGTCAAACACGATGGTAGCGTTTCAGCACTCCTCGTCGTGCAAAAGACCGTCGGGCGACTTTTTTTGGCTGTACTTGCCGCATTCTTTTTCCAGGGACACCAACTCGGGCGGTGCTTGCCCCAGGGGCCTCTCGGAAAAGAGTCTTCTAGGCGCCTTATGCAAGCTTCAAGTTGCGAAGATGTTGGGCTGTATGTCTCCTTTAACCGCAGTTTTGTGGAGCTTTGTTCTCATGATTGAGCTTTTCGGCATTTCCATCTCAACGCAGGTGGCTGTAGCCAAAAAAAATCAAAGAGCGATCTGCTCAGGCCTCTTTGGACGAGTTCTGAATGCTTTCTTTGCGGCTCGTTCACAAATCCCCTCAAACCGCTCCCACCCCGAGTCGCCCGAAGCTTTCCGGCGGAATTCGTTGCTGGTTTACCCAGCCTCGCTGGTTGGCCCGGGCGTCGAAGGCCGAAGAGGCCCTCCAGAAATCCACGAGGAGGTTACTCCAGAAATCCCATGTATGGGTCAAAATCAAACCACCGGGGGACTGCCGGTTTTAGTCCTTGGTTCCATTTACCTATTTTTGACCCACAGCCATGTGTAGAAGGTGGCTGCGGCTCATGCCGACTGTGGGCTGGGTGATTGACTTCCAGAGGGATGTCTCTTCGTTTTGAGACACACTTGAAAAGGGCATACGTTTTCTTCCAGAATTTTGTCAAGAAGTTGCTTGACATATATGGAACCGTTTTAGTTTCTCTCCTTTTTGTGGATGGCCGGCCCTATGCCCACATCTCTCAACCGGTTTTGGCGCCCTGGTAGCTGTCATTTTCAATTGGCTCCTTGTGCCCTGACCAGAGCTGGGAGAAGGGAATCCGATGGCAAGAGACGGAGGAAGTTTCTGGGCCCGAGAGTGAGAGCGGTCCAAGCCGCACGGAACATGGGTCCTTTTCGTGTGCGATGTGACAAAAAAAAAAACGAGAAACAGTCCCTCCCCTTTCGCAGGGGGTCAGAAAAAAATAGTTCTCCTAAACGGGGGGGAGGGGGGTGGGGGGTGGTTCTTTTTTTTCTTTTCCTCTTCTTTTGCTGTGGTTGCAAGAGAGAAAGATGGGTTGCGCGCCGGCGCGCGCCCGGGCCCTGGGTTTCTGGCGCCCCGAGCAAAGCCGAGCTTCCAGCCTTTGGATTCGATCCCAAATGGGATTTTTTTGGTACCCCTTTTCTTTGTGGGTAGGGGTACCAACCCATGGGCTTTTTTTGGGTAGGAGTACCCACATTTCCTGGTATTGTAACGTGAACTTTTCCTTTCTTTGCCATGTTGTTGGCCTGTGCGCCTGAACCCTCGAGAGGTTCTACCGTCCGGCGCTCAGCAAGCCGGCGGCTCGCGGCTTGGAAAGTTCCTGGCACAGTGCGAGTACATGGGGTCCTCAATTCAGGCGAATCCTCGAATTCCAGTGTGTAGCATCCTAGAACCCATTTTTTGAACCCAAGGGGGCATTCTGGAAGGGGATTCCTTGAGAGGAAGCCACAAGAAGTTGTTCATAAGGGTATTCCAATTCTCATCCCCTGCCTATCAGGAAAAACTTGTCAAGATCTTGGCGGTTGCTCCCAGTGAAGATCATCCAAAAGTCAGCCCCATGTGTTTCTGGAAACCAGGCGGGCGCTTTACACCCATTTAAGTAGACGGGAAATTCCGCACCTCTCTTTGGGGGATAGGGTTTTCACATGAGGAAAGCAGGAGGATCCCGCGCTTTTGGGGTTGGGGGTTCCCTTTTGGGGGGACCCTTGACCCCCATGCTTCGATTTAATCCGCCCGGGTCCCAATCCTAAGGGAAGGGGTTCGGGAAGGTGGTGTGAATTCGGAGGTCCGCGTCACCAAGACGGAAAACGGCCGAGCTTCGATTGGGCTTTCAGCCCCCTCCTCTGGTTCCCCCCAAGGCCGTTGAAAAGGCGTCCTTTCGGGGTTGGTGGGGATATTATTAGAACCGGTTCACTAAATATGGTTGAGGTGGCTTGGTTGCAAAATGTGTTTGAGCAACCAGCCCCCAAAGGGCCCCTAAGGACGGAGCCTGCGGAAATTTTTGAACGTTGATCCGTGGTCTGATTTTCAAAGGGGTCCCAGGCACCGAGTGGGCCGAAAGGCGCTTTGCCTCGGTCGAACCGATTGGAAGAGGGTGGCCGTAGATCCATGGCAAGTTTCGAGTGAGTTTCCTGTTGATTGGTTGGATGTTCAAGGGGACAAGTGGAGCCATGATGAGTTCGCGACCCAAAAGGGGATGGATTCCCGGCCAGCAACATGGCTCGTTCGGGCCTTTCAGGGAACCAGAAAGCTTCTTTCAGGACCCCACACCACTGCCAATTGGCTAGTTGTCCGCCTTTCTTTCACTGTTAATGGGGTTGGGGGGACAGTTCCCACGTTTGTGCTACCACTAGACCTCCCACCTTGCATTGCAGTTCGCCTCGAGAAGACCAATTCACAAGGCCAGAAGCAGGTTGGGTTTCTTTTGGTTTCCTGGGCTCGTTTTCGAATGTCCTCGTTTGTCGGATGTTCCGCGGCTTCTGCGCTCAAGAACGTAGCCCAAACGAGCAGAAGCCTGACGCCTGACGCCCTCCAATCAGGTTCTGCTCTACCTCAATGAATTGCCGCGATGCGAACTTGAAACCATTGGCGACTTGGAGCCATTTCGACTCACACTCCCCGCAAGCCTCCTCCAGCCGGACGAGAGCCCTGGGAGATGGTCGATAGATAGAGTGAAACCTCAAAGGGAAACCAACCATCTGAAGGAACCCTTGACTTTGCAAAACACCCCTGGACCCCTAGAAGAAACACCCAACCAGACGCCCCGTTTCACTCCGGTGGGTCCTTTTCCTCCCGACATGTCCGCATAAACGCGGCCGGTCTCCGTCCAGCCATGCCCAAGGCCGGCCCTCAGCCCGAGTCGCGAATCGCGAAACGGGTGCCAATATGTAGAAGAGCACGGCACACACTAACACACAATATACAAAAAACATGTGAATAAGTTGTAAATGTATGCATATTATACATATTACATATGATTATATATATATATATACATACCTACTTACCTACCTACCTACCTACATACGTACGTATGTACGTACATACATAAACACATGCATACATGACCACGTAATATATGTATATATATATATATATATATATGTTATGTATACACAGGGAAGAGAGTTTGTCCAGCCTATGCCCCTTTTGGCCGCGCATGTTTCTGGTTGTACTCGCCTTCGTTGCCTTGCTCATGGAGATGTTGAGTCGGTGCATTGATTTCACGAAGCCGGGCGGACAAGGTCACGGTGAGTGAATCGGCCCCACGAGACTTTGCGGCTTGCGGCCAATTCCTACAGCCCGTACGCCTGTTCTATTTTGTGTTGGTCATTACTATACGCCGTGGGTGTCCCCGACTGCACAACTAGCAACGAGAGGGCGAGGTTAACAAAGGCCAAGCAACTGCTCAACACTGGGCCGTTGCGAGCGTTGGCTTAAACAGCTATAGCCTGGCCACCTTCAAACAACCAAAACGGAAGCCGTTTTAACCCAGGGTACCAGCTCCCAACCAACCCTCGTGTGGATTCGGTGGTGGCTGGGGACCCGGACTCCCAAAAGTGAAAAGAACACGTTGCTCGCCATTGCTTTCTTCGTTTTCCGGGAGGTCGTGACCTTAAGACGGCTGCCGGTGTACACCAACAAGGGCCAGAAGGAGGAGACGCCGTGTGCTTTTCTCACAACCGCCGTTTGGCTGTCTTTAAAGGGAGACCAAAAGCAAATCAAACACTTGGGGGATCCCTGATTTTTATTTTTTTCCCAAGGGAACAATGACCCCCCTTGCCTGTCTTGGGCAAACTTTCAAGAGGCGGTTGAAACAAGGGAATCCAGCTCTGTGGTGTTGGTTTACGACTTTTCGTGACAGCTCGTTGTCTGGTCCCGCTCATGTTCAGTCCTTCTCGTTTGTTAATCCCAGTTTCCGTGGCCGTTTTTCGTTTGCCATAAGTCATGTTTGGCAAAATGGAGGTCAAGACCTTGTCTAGTTACTTGATTCGGCAAATCTCTGCAACTGGCTTCTGAAAAGCCAGATATTTTTCAGACACGCTGCTTGATCTGCTCGGCAGGTTGCCCTTTCAGTGGTGGTTTGCGCAGGTTTGAAGCATTCAAGCAGTCACGGAAGCAGGCGAGATGAACACAGATCTGATCGAGCTGTATTCGCATGTTGCGAAAGTCATGAGCCTGGTCAGAGTCTAGAAGGCACTGTTAAAAGGTTAGAAGCTATCGCCAAGACTCCCTCGATTGTGAAGTTTGCGAGCAAAGGCTATCTAGATATGAACCAGCACTGCCCTGACATTCAGGTAAAGTCGACTGCAAAGAGGCCAGACCCTTGCAAGATGAGTTAGAAGTAGAAGAGGTGACTGTTTCAAGGTGAGAAAGGGGATCCGTGCCTTTTTTTCCCTACCCGTTCGTCTTTGGCCTTCTTTCCCCTCTTGGGTCGGCAAAAAAAACACAGGGCCTGGGTCGAAAAACAAACTAGGCCCGCATTTTCAACCACCGTGATATCAACCGTCGAGCCTAGATGTAATCCTTTCCCGATTCACAAGGGACAGCCACCTGAGCGTTGTCGGTACAAATTGGGTGGTTAGTATCACCTAGACAACCCCCACGAGGGTTACACCAGGGTTAAGAGCAGTTAGTACGTACAACTCCCTTTAGCTGTCAAAGCAAACGGGATAGAAGGGAATGACTAAACCAGAATGGGCGACTTGGGCCTACTTTTTGCCCGACAAGGTGTAAGGTTCCAACCTACTTCCTTGTTTTCAAGGTTTCATTGGTCAGTACCAAGGTTCTAAAACGCAGGGAGCAGACATATGTTATTAAAACAAGTGTTTGACAACGTCCAAGTCAATCAATTTGTGAATACTTCCAAGCCCGTTTGTCGATGGTTCTTCAATCGTTTGCCTAGGACGACTCCTTCAACGCATTCACCTGCAAGAGGCGTGTTTGCTTTTCGCGCGAGCGGCGCCTTGCGCGGCGCTTGGGCTGCCTTGGGGTTTGGCACCTCGCGGGCTATTATGCTATTTTCAGTTTTTGTTTTTCGGGCGGGGGGAATGTGCTCAAACATCATTGGCCCAAACGATGAGTTGCCAAACGGAAGCGCTTGAAGGATGTTGCCAAATATCAAGGGCCCGCGGGGTCAATGGAGAAGCCCCCGACGCCCGGGCCGTGTCTTCTGATATGCCCTCTTGGGAGAGCATGTTGTAAGCTAAGGGGGGGGGTTACAGTGAAAGGAGACGTGTTTGTGTGGGTGGCTCAATTGAGAGGCTAGCCTTTTCAGCTTGAATTGAAGTTTAAAGGCAAACCAAAAAGGCAAGCCACTGTTGCGGGTCCAGCGATTTTGACGCTTCAGATACACCACTTGAGCCTCTCCATTTTCCAGGGCTTACGAGGTTATACATTGCCACCTCCTTCATCCCAGTGGCCCGTTCTTCGTGG